ACACTCTAGAGAAGGCAGCACCTATTTATGCCCAGCATCTTACTTGCTTCCTTAGCAACTACAGGGAAAAAAAAATAAGGTATTGGGATAAAACTCAGTAACTCTGCACACACCCATACATGCTCAGGCCCTGTTCTTTTCAAAAATTCCTCCCCCACCAGTGCTGAGGACAGTTCATTGAGGTGCATAAGTTCAATTTGTAAAACTTTCCTCCTCCCCCACCAGTGCTGAGGACAGTTCATTAAGATTCATACGTTCAATTTGTAAAAATTTCGAGTTTTCACAGATTAATCCCCTCAAAAAAAAAAAAAAAATCACACACTGTGCGCCAGTGGTGCAGTACAAGAGCAGCTAATGCTTATCTACTTTCCCCATCAATTTCCCCATCCATGCCCACAATTTTTCCTCTTTCTACCATGGGAAAACTTCCAAGTGGCAGAAACAACCACCACCCCGTGGTTCAGATTTCTTTGGAGAGACTCACGGAGGGGTCCTGGGAACATCTTTGCCATTTTACAGCACATCTCAGTGAGCACTGCTGGAAAACTCGTTTTCACGAAGCCACCTAACGCGGTTCCACTTGAATTTCACCCTAATCGCTTCGCCTCTCGTTCCCAGTGACATTCCCAGTCTCAGCAAAACTGGGTCTCCCACTCAGACCGTGCCGTGACAGCCTGCAGCGCCCACAAAGGCGCATTCTTCAGCTGGGGACTGTGCCCTGCACAGCAGCTGTGAACAACTGTGAACAAGTGGCTCATTCCAGAAGAAGTTCGCTTTTCCTGCTCACTCTGGAACACAAGACACTAAGCAGAGCCTCCTGGAGCAAACCACGCTCCCCGAAACATGGCATGGAATCCATACTTTTCCTCTACCTCATATCAGGAAGGTGTCCCTGCCCATGCCAGGGGGGTTGGAACTGGATGATCTTTGAGGTCCCTTCCAACCCAAACCATTCCGTGATTCTCTCTGAAGCACGGAGATGGCTCAGCCACCCGTCACTGGGAGCTCTGGGGCACCAGCAATGGTTAACGCCTGGGAAGCACCCCACATACACCGCGTATCCCCACGCCACGACTTTCCTCCATCCCATCTATCCCTGTCCGTGTATGTACTGCTCTCTGTGCCTCCAACACACGCACCCCAAACCCTCGTCTTCCTCCCAAACCCCCTCCTTCCTCCCAAA